ACCAGTGTGTGACAGAGAAATGGAGACAGAGCTGCCGTCTGTGCTGCCTGCCTGCGCTCCCCGGCCGAGACGCACGTCTGCGGGCACAGCTGGGGCCGGGTGCTGAAACGGGTTTAGAGCACGGAGCTGGGGCTGGGGCTTAGCCGCCCGGAGACGGCCAGAGAAGCCAAGTGCCAAGTGCCGTTGTTAGGTCGGGGGTGAGGGCCCGCCGTAGCAGCCTCTTTAGGCTCTGGGATCAGGTGCCGGGGGTTTGCCCAACTTAGGAGGCAGAGCTCTGGTCTCTCCCTGTGGCTGTGCCGGACGCAGACTGACCCACTGCCAGCTTTGTAAACCCAGCGCTGCAGGATTGCTGTTCAGTCACCCAGTTGTGTGACTCTACACCTATGCTGCCTGCTTTGTAAACTCAGCGCAGTGCGACATCCAAGTGGAGAACAGGTGCTTCCGTGGCTGAGACGGATCTGCTCTTGGCAGCTGTGGGCTTCCTGAGTGCGTCCATGTGGGGGCGAGGCCGGGACAAGGTCTGGGCTGCCTCCGGCGCTCCCAGACGGTCTAGGTGCATGACTGCCGCGCTCCTGGGCCCTGACTAGAGTGGATCTGTGCGGGTGGCCTTCTGGGCCACAGAGCACTCTCCCGGTGGACAGTTCCGGCAGAGGAATGCTCAGGGGCTCTTCTCCCAGTGCAAGTGCTCCAACTCTGCCTACCTCACACCACAGCTCAGATATGTGACTCAGAAATGATCTGGGGGCCTCGACTCCAATAACCAGGAAGACTGTCCCCAACAGGGCTATGGCGACCACAGAGAAAAGAGGAGGACCCACTCAACATCCACTGCAGACTCTGGTCATCACATCAGTCACACTCCTCACCAAAGGGATATTAAGGCCAAGAAACACAGAGGACAGGCAGCAGGTGTTCATACTAAACACAGGCCTCACATCAAAAATATTAAATCCACGCAGACTACACAGGGACATGCCCACACATCCCTCCAAGACCACAGTAAATAACTGCTTCTCCTAAACTCAGAGTAAGAGAAATAGAAGTAAAATGAAGCAGGATCACTCGCAGTTAAAAAATCAAGAGAACTCCCCTGAAAGAACAATGAAACAGATCTCTTCAGTCTGACAGACACCCAAGTTCAAAAAGGAGATAATGAAAATACTGAAGGAATTAGGAAAGTCTATGGATAGAAATGCAGATTACTGTAAAAAAAGAACTACAAACTATAAAGAGGAGCCAAGAAAAATCAGAACACTCATTTGCCAAGATGAAAGCTAAACTAAAAGGCAATGAAGAGCAGATGGAATACTGCAGAACAAATAAGTGACCTGGAAGATAGCATAGAAATCACCCAATTAGAACATCAGACAAAAATCCAGATTGGAGAAAAAAAAAAAGTGAAAGCATTAAGAGACCCGTTCAGTTCAGTTCAGTCGCTCAGTCATGTCCAACTCTTTGCAACACCATGAACCGCAGCACACCAGTCCTCCCCGTCCATCACCAACTCCCAGACTTAACCCAAACCCATGTTCATTCAGTCGGTGATGCCATCCAACCATCTCATCCTCTGTTGTCCCCTTCTCCTCCTGCCCTCAATCTTTCCCAGCATCAGGGTCTTTTCTAATGAGTCAGCTCTCCGCATCAGGTGGCCAAAGTATTGGAGTTTCAGCTTCAACATCAGTCCTACCAATGAGACCGGTAGGATAATATAAAAGTGTGCCAATCTACACATACATAGGAATTCCAGAAGGAAAACGAAGCAAAAAGGTTTAAAAAATAAAATGTATTCTAAGAAATTACGGCCGAAAACTTCCCTAACCTAAAGAAAGATATCCAGGTACAGGAAGCACAGAGTCCTTCAAGTATTTTTTCTGACCACAATGACATGAAATCAACAGCAGAAAAAGAAATGAGGAAAAAAATGGTTACAGGGAGACTAAAACAACATGCCATTAAAAAACCAATGAGTCAAAGATGAAATCAAAGAAACTAAAAAATACCTTGAGACAAGTGACAATGAAAACACACCCATACAAAATTTATGGAATACAGCAAAGGCAGCTGTTAGAGGGAAATTCATAGTGATACAGGCCTTCCTCAAAAAAATGAGAAAAATCTCAAACTTACCTATCACCTAAAAGAACTCGAAAAAGAACAGAATCTAAAGACAGCAGAAGGAAAAAAATAAAGATCAGAGAGGAGACAAATAAGATTTTTTTTAATTTTATTAAATCCAAGTTATGAATAAGAAAGAATTCCATTCACTTGATGTATCTGAATATTCTAAAGAAACTGTCTGCCCCATATCTGTCCGTTACGATTTCTCTCAATTCGTCCAGGTCATAAAAAGGCAGTGTTATTCTAATGAGGTATAGACAATTAGAGCAGTACTTCAGCCCAATTTGTGTATCAGCCTCCCAGAAGATTTTTTTTTAAATTGAAAAAAAATCAATAAAGCCAAGAGCTGGTTTATTCAAAGGGTGTGCTCAGTTGCATCCAACTCTGTGGTCCCCTGGACTGTAGCCTCCGGTTTCCCATCCATGGAATTTCCCAGGCAAGAGTACTGGAGTGGGTTGCCATTTGCTTCTCCAGCAGATCCTCCCAACCCTGGGTTCGAACCCAGGTCTCCCGCACTGCAGGCAGCTTCCTCACCACTGCGCCACCTGGGAAGCCCTTGAAAGGGTAAACATGGACAAATCTCTAATCATGCTCACCAAGAAAAGAGAAAACCCAAGTAATCAAGAGGAAGAGGACTTCCCTGCTGGCACATGGTTAAGAATCCAGCTGTCAATGCAGGGGATATGAGTTCGATCCTTGGACAGGGGAGATATCACAAGCCAGAGCAACTAGGCCTGTGTGCACCAACTGCTGAAGCCAATGGGAACAGAGCCTGTGCTCCACAACAAAAGTCGCTGCAATGAGAAGGCCGCGAACCGCAACTAGAGTAGCCCTTGCTCTCCTGCAACTAGACAAAGCCAGTGCATGGTGACAAAGGTCCAGTGTAAGCAAAAACAAAAATAAAAAGACAAAGGAAGAAATGAAAAAGAAATGACGGACGCCGCAATGGAACAGAATACCGAGCCCCAAAATAAATCTACCTACCTATAATCAATTGGCTCAGACAGCAAAGAATCCACTTGCAACATGGGAGACCTGGGTTTGATTCCTTGGTCAGGAAGATCCCCTGGAATAGCTACCCACTGCAGTATTCTTACCTGGAGAATTCCATGGACATCAAAGCCCAGTGGGCTAGTCCATGCAATCACAAAGAGACAAGACTAAGATACCAACACGCTGACTTTAAGTTCAGTAAATACTCAACTTTTTGGATAGTGTATTGAAGGCATTCACATCTGTGTCTCATTCCTCTACCACCAAAAACTGCCTTCACAAGTTGACTGACTCTAAAGTCCAAAAGACATTTCTAACACTTCTGCAAACTTAGAACCCAACACATGTCCTGAGCATACCCCACCAGCAATAATCAACTCTATAAATCTGAGTCACCATTTCCTCCTAATTCCTTTTAGTGTTTCAAAGGGTATTACATGTGAGAAAAGGGTTACACAGGACATACTTGGGAGATGTAGTATGTGGTGTCCCCCCAATCTGAACACCAAACCTACTTCACAGTACATCTTTTAAGACTGAAAATATATAAAACACACTTTGTGAAACTGTGAAATACTGAAGATCTGGTAATATACTGAAGTTGTCCCAAGAACATTTTTTCTACAAAGGCTTCCCAGTGACAGACTTTTATTTTCTTGGACTCTAAAATTATTGCAGATGGTGACTGAAGCAATGACAATTAAGACACTTGATCCTTGGAAGAAAGTCTATGAACAACCTTGACAGTATATCAAAAAGCAGAGACATTACTTTGCCAACAAAGGTCTGTCTAGTCAAAGATATAGTTTTTCCAATAGTCATGTATGGATATAAGAATTGGACCATTTAGAAAGCCGCGGGCTGAGGAGATGATGCTTTTGAACTGTGGTGTTGGAGAAGACTCTTGAGAGTCCCTCGGACTGCAAAAGGAGATCAAACCAGTCAATCCTAAAGGAAACCAGTCCTGAATATTCATTGGAAGGACTGATGCTGAAACTCCAATACTTTGGCCACCTGATGTGAAGAACTGGCTCATTGGAAAAGACCCTGATGCTGGGAAAGATTGAAGGTAGGAGAAGGCGACGACAGAGGATAAGATGGTTGGATGCCATTACCAACTCGATGGACATGAGTTTGAGCAAGATCTGGGAGTTGGTGATGGACAGGGAAGCCTGGTGTGCTGCGGTCCACGGGGTCACAAGAGTCGGATACGACTGAGCGACTGAACTGAACTGTACTACTATAAACCCTTAAGTAAGACCTTGCTTCAATAGAACTTCTCTCACCCTGTGAAAATCTGGAGGTGGAAGGAACATATTTCACTTAATCCTCTTTGCTACTCAGATTCAGTGGATTTAAAGTGGACTGTAAAACTGCAGTTCTGGTTAGATTCTGGGTATTGACCCTTGTTGCCTCTGACATACTCAACAAAATGACAACAATACCAGAGACTTCTCTAGTGATCCAGTGGTGAGGAATTTCTCTTGCAATGCAAGGGACACAGGTTTGATCCCTAGTCGTGGAACTGAGATTGGACACGCTGTAATTAAGTCTGTGTGCATATCGCCACCAAGATCCAACGTAGCCCAATAAACATTTTAAAAAAATGATAGCCATATCCTGGGACTGAAATTATGCAAACTAAATTTTAAAAATCTAGTACTGGAAAGGAACTCTGCACTCCCTTTACAAAAACGGGGAAAGTGAAACTGGGATATCTGGCTCTTAACCCACAAGTTTTGCCACTGTATCTTGATGCCCCATCTTCACTCATCTAGCTTCAGGGAAGTATACTGGGACAAGAAGAAATAAAAATAAATAACTGCAATGAATACAGTATTTTTAAAACAAGCTCCGGCCAGTTTTATTAAAGAAAAATTGTACATGATTTACTTTTCACCAGTCTGTTCTGGCATGCTTCTAATAATATCAGAATCACCTAAAAAACAAAACACAATAATTTTTACAACTCATTTAATGGCAACTGGTAATCATCAAACTAGCAATGGTTATCTTCAAAAATTATCACACTAGCTGTGCTACCATTTCTCAAGGTTGATCAGATACCTAGAGTCACAGACAATTCCCACACAAGATACGTCATGTAAATCAGACTTGGTTTATCACCAGCATTTATAAAACCAGACCTAGGCAAAGAACTAGGTCTGGGGACACATGCATGGTCTTAATATAGCGAATGTTTAGCCTGCCCTGATTATTACAAAATCAGAACAGCGAGAATATTCGCAGTAGCTTCATGAATTAGAAATTCTTAAGTTCAAAACATGACGTGTGTTTGTAGGCCCTTTTTTCCCCTCAACCTAATTTTATTCACCTATTCTCAGGCAGCCAGTAAGGATTCCTTTCTTCTACTGTTTCACCTGATTATTCTCCCCCTTTATAATTTCACCTTATACCAAGGCCGTAAGACATAATTTCTCAGGTGCAGTATGAAATTAAACTCATGATCTCAAAGTAAAAAGAAATTTCATTTATAACAAAGTACATTTATGTACTGACATTCACTACTAACTCTCCATGACATAAGCCTGCAGGATATCCCTTGCTATATACAAATTCTCAGTATCTGAACTTAGGAACCAGACATTTGTATAGTAAGAAGTCATTGTACTACATCATAAAAAAAAAAAAAAAGACTTATTTTATGACTGAAAAAGCATACCTGGATCAATGATAGCCAGTGTGCATACTCTGTAGTATTTTCCACATGCTGTGCCCAATTCAATATTATTGCCACTGTAGTGATGGACACCAGTTTTGGCCAACATGGCGTAATACTCTATTTCAGATTTCCTTTGGGGGTTAAAAAAAAAGGCAAATAAATACCATACCAACTGACACAGATTAAATGTTACTTCTCTCATTAGTTCCAATGTTGGTAAAGCCTTCAAACAGTAAGCCACTTATTAGTTTTAAAAATATCATATTCATTATCCAACCCAACCATCCTTTGGACCCTCTACAGTATATATTTGTGCTCATGGAAGAAGAGGGTATGGAATAAAATCATCATTTGCTTAGCATTTACTATCTGCCAGACACTTTACCTAATTCCCATGACAATGTCTAAGCCATTTCTAATCCCTCTGGTGCTTGAGCCCTGGATGGAGAGTGATAGAACAGGTATACCTCCTCAGATACTGCAGATTCCTTCCAGACCATTGCAATAAATCAAATATTGCAATAAAGCTAGCCACAGGAATTTTTAAATTTCCAAGTGCATATAAAAGTTGTTTAACCTATATGTAGCCTGTAAGTGTTCAACAGCATTATGTCTAAAAAAAAAAAAAACCCCAATGTACATACATAAATTAAACTATTTTGTTGCAAAAATAAATAAATAAATAGCCCAACCATTAACCATCACCTGAACCTTGAGGGAATTGTAGTAGTAACATCAAAGAACACAAATCATCACAACAAAGAAAAAGTAGGCACCTACAGACTTATACAATGTAAGGTTGCCACAAATCTTCAATTTATATAAAAAACAAAGAGCAACTATGAAGTGAAGAAAAGCTAAATGAAATAAAACAAAAACAGGCATGCCACAGGCTTGCACTAGCCCAAAGTTAATGTTTTTGTGACCACTAAGTAGGTAGAGAGCCATCAAGGAACTTGTTAAAAACGCATCAGGCCCCAATCCAGATCCATTAAATCTGAGCTTGCATTTAAACCAAATCATTTGCGATTGTATGTACATTCATGCTGAAAGGCACTGCTCTAATAGGTAAGTGTGAATGGTTTGCAGTAAGACCAAAGGTTTGAGATGGGATGGAAGAGAGCTCTCCAGGCTTTGCCCATAGGTACAGACGCCCTGTATGAAATGCTGTGAGGTTAGGCATTACCATAGAAAATCGACAAGCACAGGCACTGAAAATACGGCTGATACTCTGCATGGCCCAACTTGAACTTACGCACAGTACCTCGTAAGTTCAGTTTCAAAACAGTGAATCAGGCAAAAACTGGGTGAACTGGGAGGGTGCAGACCCACAGGCCAGCCTGAAGTCTTCTGATCTTAGCTTCTCTATACTACAAGTAGTTCATAAAATGAAGTCCTTTTAAAACACCTCAAAGTTAGAAGAACAAGCAAAAAAAGGCAGGACATAAGGAAAAGCAACTTACGTTTCTGTGCTACCCTCAAACTTTGCCCTTCTTTGGTTTCTGCCACACATTTCTCCCAAAGAGAACCTCATAGAAGGAGATACTATGAGGGGGAGAAAAATCAAGAGCCAAACACAAGAGAAACCCTTAAATTATCCTGCAAATGTGCCCTTGTAATACAAATTCTACTTGACACCCAGTTCAAGATACCCAGATTGCAAGCTCACACTCCTGGATATTCGCTTACGAGGAATTTACAGAGGAGGACACACACCCTCAGGTTCTTTCAATTACCTCAAGGCTGGGCAGTTGTTGGCGAGGATGACCAGTTTCGCTTTGCCTTGTCTGATCATTTTCAGAGTCTGTTTGTACCCCAGCACGTACTTTCCACTTTTCATAACCAGCTGGAGCCTAGAGTTGATCGACTCCAGTGACTTTTTCTACAAAGCAAACATTTAATACGAACTTGAAGGCCTTGTTTGCAACCACTCAAGACTGGATCCAGGGACTTCCCTGGTGGTCCAGTGGTTAAGTCTCCCGCGCTTCCAAGCAGGGAGCACGGGTTCCATCCCTTGAAAGGGAACGAAGATCTCGCAAGCCACGGCCAAAAAAAAAACAAACTGGATCCAGCTTCCTGGAACCGGAGCCCCTTAATAAAACCTCCGAAGTAGAGGGTTCCAAGGCACTGAGACGGACTCTCGGGTTCTTTCTGGAAGCCTCCTAGGCCAGCGGGAACGCTGTACGCCCAGAGTGCTCAGAACTGCCCGCCCCGGCCAAGACTCATCTCTCCACGTGAAATAGGCTTCCGGCCCCGGCCTGCTTCACTCACCGTCTTCTTTGCGGCCACCATCTTCCTGCTTTAGATGCGGGACGCCCCCAACCTAGAACACAGAGGACAGGACAGGAAGTTTACGATCCGAAGTTCCAAACCGGCAACTCCCTGGGCTCCGCGCGCTGCCAAAACCTCGGCCCGCAGGAGCCCACTCACCAAGAGCAGCCGCCAAGATGGCCGGGGAGCGAGAAAGGAAAGAGTTCCCACAATGCCAAGCTCTTCACGGCGGGGCCGTGCGGCGGCACGCCGCGACGGGAAGCGGAAGCAAATGTCCAGTGGAGGGGCGGGACAAGAAGAGGCGGGCCGGTACTGGTTACTATGGCGGCTCAGTGGTGTCCGGCCTTTTGCGACCGTAGCCCGCCAGGCTCCTCTGTCCGTGGGGATTCTCCAGGAGAGAATACTGGCGTGGGTTGCCATTTCCTTCTGCAGAGGATCTTCTGACTCAGAGAACGAACCCAGATCTGCATTACAGGCAGAATTTTTTTTTTTTTTTTTTTTTTTTTACCGCCGGAGCCACCAGGTTTTGCAGCCGAGTGGTCTGAAATTTCACCTTGCTGTGTTCTGCTGCTCTGAAGCGGCGCGCTGCGGAACTCAGGAAAGTGGAACAGGACGGGAGTTGGAGAAGCCGACTGAGAGTGAAGCGGGAGGGGCGCTGAGAAGAGGCGGCGTCTGGACCTCGGCCTCAGTGCCACAGAGCGCACTTCTGCCCGAAGCCCCGGCTCTTAGGAGACTCGGGGAGGACCCAGGTGCGCCTCAGCTCCCAGGATTACGCTCTGCTGCTGGCTCCCTTGAACTCACCTCTTCTGTAGCGATGTTACTGTGAACGTCTAAGCCGGAGCGAGCGATAAAACAGGTCTAACTAAAAATCTTTTTGTTGTGAACGTTGTATATTGATTAAAACAAAAAAAAAAGTCCAGTGACGAATCATTCAAAATATTAGGCACAGAAAGTCTCTCACCACCACACACGCAAGCAAAAAAAAAAAAAGGTAAAAATCAGGTCAATAAGTAAGCTATCATCATATGTCAACTTTTAGGAAACTGTCGTACAGAGGCAATCATTCGTGCCCAAAGACATGAGAATAGGGATGTTTATTTCAGCATTAGTTTGCAAAACAGAAATGGAAACATCAAATGTTCATCATTCTTAACCAATATATGTGTTTGCATATGCAGAAAAGTCATATCTTGGGACTTCCCTGGTAGTCCACCCTGCCGTGCCGGGGACACCGGTTGGATCCCTGCTGGTAGGGGAACTGGGATCCCACCTGCCACAGGGCAAGTAAGCCCAGTCACCACAACTAGAGAGCCTGCCCAGGGAAACGAAGACCCAGTCTAGGACAACAGAATAAAAAAATGAAATAATCTTTAAAAAAAAGAAAAGAAAATTCAAGTCTTGGGAATTCCCTGCTGGTCCAGTACTTAGGACTGTATGCTTCCACTGCAGGGGGCATGGGTTTCATCCCTAGTTGGAGAACTAAGAGTCCACATGCTGAAGAGCCAAAAAAAGAAAAACAAATTCAAGTCTGGAAAGTTAATCATTGAAACACATCTTTGGATGAGAGACGAGTAGGTGGTGAGAAAAGAACATTTAATTGTACTTTATATGTTTTAGCACTGTTTGAATTATTTAAGCATTCACTGTTATGTAAAGAACACATTTTTAATAAAATAGTGGTTGATTTAAACAAATCTTGTGAAACTTCAGTTATTTCTTAAAGCAGTAATTTTCAAAGTATGACTTCCAGATCACCAGATTCAGAACCACCTTGAATTCTGACTCTTGGACTCTTGAATTCTGACGCCCAGGTGTGTAAAGAAATCCTGGGATGTGGGGCCTGGAAATCTGAGCTTAATAAGCAACCTCTATGATTTTTTTTTTTTTAATGTATTTATTTGGCTGCATTGGGTCTTAGTTGTGGCACATGGTATCTTTTGTTGGGATGCCTGAACTCTAGTTTTGGCTCGGGGTTAGTTGCTCCCGGATGTTAGCTCCCCGACCAGGGCTGTGTGCAGTGGATGTTAGTTCTCTTCCTCAGTCCCACTCCTGTCTCCCCAACCTCCCCATCACAACCACTCACACACACCTAAAGTCATCCATGGCATTGCAAAACCCAAACACTAGTGGAAGAAAGGCTTGCCATGCAAGAATGACTGTCAAATCCTTTGGCTTGTGAAGAGTTAGTAACTATTTCCACACCTGTATTTATTAGAGCTGGAGTCGGCAAGCTTTTTCTGTAAAGAGCCAAATAATAAAGGTTTTAGACTCTGGGGCTGTATGGTCTCTGTGGCAGCTACTCAACTCTGCTGACACAGCACCAGAGCAGTCAGAGACAATATGTAAATGGATGAGCACGGCTGTGTTCCAATAAAACCTGCAGGCCATGGTTTGTTCACCGCTGTGTTGGAAAATTAGTATTACTTTTATTTAAAACAGCTACTTTAAGTCATCCCTTCTCTAAAGAGATAAATGAAGTATTTATGGTGCCCCCTGCAGTGGAAGCCCAGAGTCTTAACCACTAGACCACCAGGGAAGTCGCTGCAACTTTCAAATTGTTAAATAAATGTAAATAAAATCCTAAAATAAATGTAGATAAATAAATGGAGTAAATGCAGCAAGTGAAAGTCACTCAGTCATGTCTGACTCTTTGTGACCCCACAGACTATATAGTCCATGGAATTCTCCAGGCCAGAATACTGGAGTGGATAGCCTTTCCCTTTTCCAGGGGATCTTCCTAACCCAGGGATCCAACCCAGGTCTCCCGCATTGTGGGTGGATTCTTTACCAGCTGAGCCACAAGGGAAGCCCAAATGCAGCAAAGAGTTAATCATTGTTGAATGTAAAGTCGAAGATAAATGAGTATTTGTTGCACTATTCAACTTTTTGTGAGTCTGAAAATCTTCATACCAAAAAGTGAAATTCCAGTGTGTCTTTTACACTTACATCACATCTCATTTAAAAAAAAATTTTTTTTTTTTTAAGTCGCTGAGTCGTGTCCAACTCTGCAACCCCGTGGACTGTAACCCACCAGGCTCCTCCATCCATGGGATTCTCCAGGCAAGAATACTGGAGTGGGTTGCCATTAATGACATTTAAATGTTCAGGAACAATTTCAGATTACTATATAGTAATATATATAGATATAGATTACTATAGATATAGTAATAGATATAGATTACTATATCTGAATAATATTCAGATTACTAGATAGATGGGCTTCCCAGGTGGCACTAGTGGTAAAGAACTACCAGCGCAGGTAGATGGAAGAGACGTGGGTTCCATGCCTGGGTTAGGAAGATCCCCTGGAGGTACATGGCAATCCACTCCAATATTCTTGCCTGGAGAATCCCATGGACAGAGGAGCCTGTCGGGCTACAGTCCATAGGGTCGCAAAGAGTCGGACACAACTGAAGTGACAGCACACATGCATGTGTCTTTTTTTAAATTAATTTATTTTTTTGAAGGATAATTGCTTTACAAAATTTTGTTTTCTGTCAAACCTCAACATGAATCAACTACAGGTATACATATATACTCCCTCCCTTTTGAGCTTCCCTCCCATCTCCCTCCCCATCCCACCCCTGTAGGTTGATATAGAGCCCCTGTTTGAGTTTCCTGAGCCATACAGCAAATTCCTGTTAGCTATCTATTTTACATATGGTAATGTGAGTTTCCATGTTATATAGAGCCCCTGTTTGAGTTTCCTGAGCCATACAGCAAATTCCTGTTAGCTATCTATTTTACATATGGTAATGTGAGTTTCCATGTTACTCTTTCCATACATCTCACCCTCTCCTCCCCTCTCCCCATGTCTATTCTCTATGTCTGTTTCTCCACTGTTGCCCTGTAAATAAATTCGATACCATTTTTCTAGATTCTGTATACATGTGTTAGAATATGATATTTATCTTTCTCTTTCTGACTTACTTCACTCTGTATAATAGGTTCTAGGTTCATCCACCTCATTAGAACTGACTCAAAGTCTTTCCTTTTATGGCTGAGTAATATTCCATTGTATATATGTACCATGACTTTATCTATTCATCTGTCAATGGATATCTAGATTGCTTCCATGTTCTAGCTATTGTAAATAGTGCTGCAATGAACAATGGGATGCATGTGTCTTTTACAATTTTGGTTTCCTCAGGGTATATGCCTAGGAGTGGGATTGCTGGGTCATATAGTGGGTTTATTCCTAGTTTTTTAAGGAATCTCTGAACCGTCTTCCATAGTGGCTCTATCAAGTTACATTCCCACCAACAGTGCAAGAGCGTTCCCTTTTCTCCATACTCTCTCCAACATTTATTGCTTGTAGATTTTTTGATGCTGGCTACTGTGACTTATGTGAGGTGATATCTCATTATAGTTTTTGATTTTCACTTCTCTAATGCATGCATGCATCTTGCAAAGAGTTTTGAGCGTGGTCACTGAAGCACAATGGTCAGAAGTCTGATAGCTCCACTGCATTGCCAAAGAAACCATGTGTTCAATTGAAATATGGCTGACTAATAAAAAGGAATGAGGGCTTCCCGGTGGTCCAGTGGTTAAGATTTGCCTTGCACTGCAGGAGATGGGTTGGAGGTATACAGGTATTCATCAAACTATTCAACCATTTGTGAGTTTGAAAATCTTCATACCCCAAAGTCGAAGAATGTGTATGTTTCAAGAAAGGCCTTTATAGACTTCCCTGGTGGCACAGTGGACAGAAATCTACTTGCCAACGCAGAGGACACAGGTTCAATCCCTGGACTGGGAAGATTCCACGTGCTTTGGAGCAACTAAGCCCATGTGTTCACAACTACTGAAGCCCAATGCCTACAGCCTGTGCTCCATAATCCACAAGAGAAGTCACGGCCATGAGAAGCCCTCACATAGCAACTAGAGAAAACCTGTGAGAAAAAGCAGCGAAGACCTGGTACAATAAAAAATCAATCAATAAAAATAAATTGAAAAAAATAATAAAAGACTTTGCCTCCAGACTTTATTTTATTTTCCCTGGATGCTAGTCTGAAGCATTTCAGAGTGATTTAGAAGGAATACCAACAGGTCAACGTGACAGGACAGGCTCTCTAGTTCTCCTTCACCAAAATCGCTGCTCCAAGTTTCTGACAATTCTCCAGGCACCTGCATTATTGTGCTTCTGGTTTTTACTTGGTGTGAGAATGAAAAGTGACAGCCTGCATTCCCTGTTAGAGCAGATACTAACAAGTTCATCTGATATTCATTGGTTCAGTACACTGGCCCATCCCCGTATTGTGAAGCAGTTAAACCTATCATGTTCATTACCATCAACTATTACTTATTCAGTGTCCAGATTAGGAAGGAGTTGGTTAGTTACTTGGAAATCTACTGTCTAATTCAACCTTCATATCCTTCAGTTACCATGGATGTTAAAAATGCTCAGAAATATAGCAGAGAGAGGGAGGGACAGTGAATCCAAGTGAAAAGACCCTGTAAACTCAGTGAATGTTGATGGCCTTTCAACTAACTAAACACATATACACTGATAGATGAATTTTGAACCTACAGGGGACAAGAAGGAACGAATGCATACATATTTCTTTCTACCATTTCTGCCTCCACAATAATGAAGAGTCCAAAATATTTCTTCTATACCCATTCCCATTCAGACTGGGAATACGCCAGACTGTACTGGATTAAAACTAGACCAGAGAAACACTTTCTCCTATTTTCTTAAAAATCATTTGTCTATTTCTCAAAAAGCATATGTTTTTTATACTCTTGGATACAAAGAAGTCAGAGCACTTTATTCACTATTTTCCTGTGGAGGAGTGACACTTTTGGAAAGTAGATTGGTGTCTATAAAGGTTGGTCTTTTGCTTGCTTTATATTTCTTAGAGTCAGTTTTTGAAATTTTAGTAGAAATGGAATTCCTGTCTAAATGTTCACAAAAGAATGACACTTCACATTTTATTTTTAATAATTTGAAAAGTTTGCCATTTGGGACCTCCCTGGGAGGATCCAGTGGTTCAAATTCCATGATTACATTGCTGGAGAACTAAGATCCCTGGTTAGGGGACTAAGATCCCATAGGCTGAATTGCTCAGCCAAAAAAAAATTTTTTTTTCTTAGATTTAAAAAAGAGAAAAGTCTGCCATGTACTGTTATCCTTAATAAAACTGTAATGTATAGGCTAAGACATCAATTTTTTTTTTTTTTTGCTTTTAACTAGAACTTAATTCTGTAATACCACATCAGGCTGATCAGAAAATGTCACTGATTACTTAACAGAGAAAAACAGAACAAATGCAATTTTGTGACAACATCAAAACATGAATGTGTCTAGGAAAAATGGTAAAAGGAGTCCTTGAAGGTAAGAAGATTCATAAACTATTCCTCCAAGATATAACACCTTTAAAATCACAGTATCAATTATGATTCGGTATTATCAAGAAAAGACTAAAGGAATAAGAATGAGTGTGGTCTGTGAGAGGGAAGATAGTAGGCATTCTGTCTCAGACTAGATACTTATTTGTAAGCAATAAAAACAAGTTAGCTCAGTTAAGCAGAAATGTGTTTTGTAGTCTACCAAATGAACAAGACCCCATCTATGTATACTGGTTATGGGGAAGCAACACTATTTATCAGTCATTAATTCAGAGCAAACCACAGGAAAATACCCCTTCAAAAGTGCTTTATCTTGACTATGCCATAACTGAGTGCCATCCCATCATTCTATAGGTTTGCCTTCTTCTGGATGATGAGATATAATGAAAGACCAGTAAATCACATAGAAATTAACCTATTACTTGTCTCATGGTAAAGTGAATTTTTGATAAGATGTACTAAATAATGTCTTGATGGATGTGTGATGTCTTGATACCATCCCCTAAATTGATGATGCAATTAGAGGCATGATGAGCAGGAAATGCAAACCTAATCCAGTATCTATTACAATAATGGTTCTCCACTGTCCCCAAAGAGGTCTAATCACTCTTCCATGAAGAAGATCTTAAAAAGGAAGCATACCATTTCAGAGGCTTACAGTTGGTCACACTTGCTGCTGAGTTAGGCACTCGGTCAGGTAAGCCATGTTAAGTGGTTTGAGCCCATACATGGTTCCTATCCCTGTCATTTTATCCCTGAGCCCACTGAGCAGGCATTGGGATGGCTCATGAGAAAGACTTCCTAACACACACAGGGCACCGGGTGGCTCAGATTATTGTTCACTTGATTATAAAATGCTTCCTCTGAAAGAAATGGCATGACTAACAAATTATCTCTGAGGAAAAGCAAGATACCCAAGTCCACTCCTAAAAAAATACTTAAGCTCAGCAAGCCCTCGTTACTCCAATACTTCGGTCACCTGATGTGAAGAGCCGACTCATCTGAAAAGACCTTGATGCTGGGAAAGATTGAAGGCAGGAGAAGGGGATGACAGAGGATGAGATGGTTGAATGGCATCACCAACTCAATGGACATGAGTTTGGGTAAACTCCGGGAGTTGGTGATGGACAGGGAGGCCTGGCGTGCTGCAGTCCATGGGGTGGCAAAGAGTCGGACACAACTGAGTGACTGAACTGAACTAAAACCCTGGTTTAGCATGAAAGCATTAATATTCAAGTTATGTATTTATGTTTAACTAATCTGTGAGTTATTACATCTCTCTCTCTTTTTTTTTCTTTGGCTGCAGGGCATATGGGATATTAGTTCCCTAACCAGGGACTGAGCTCACACCCCTTGCAGTGTAAGTTTGGAGTCTTAACTAGTGGACCAGCAGGGAAGTCTCCTGCACTTCTTTTTGTGACAGTGGAGTTTTGAAAATTTTCATTATCTAAATAAAATTAAATGTGACTTAAAAAAAAAAAGACTCATCTGAAATGGGATGAATCATCTGAAGTCAGCTATGAGCTGACTTGCACCCCTACGCCAAAGTCCTATTTCAACCTAACCCCCACTGTGATTCAATCTGGAGTTAGGGTCTTTAGGAGTTAATTAAGGTTAAATGGGGTCATAAGGTTGGGACCCTAATCTGATCTAAAACCCCTCTTATGAAGACACAGTGAGAAGGCTGCAATCCACAAGATGGAAAGAAATAGAATAGGCCAGCATCTTGGTCTTAGACTTCCTAAGTTCCAGAAATGTGAGAAATAAGCATTTGTTTAAACCACCCAGTTTATGGTATTTTGTTATGGCAGCCCAATCTAGTATAGGGCCTTCTGAAAACATTTATATAGCACACAAATATTTCCTAAATCTAGGCCTATTCCACATTCCTCTCCCCTAAACTTCCTGGTACCAATCCTGTAATCATGCTCTTTCCAAGTTTTTGACTTGGAATCAGGCCAAATCATTAGTCATCTTCAAAATACTTCTCTTTCCTTAGGGCACAGTAACCTCAGACAGAAGGTAAGGAGAAGAATCACAATTCATATTTGTAATGTTGTGAAATGTATTTCCTCATAGATACCCAGTTTCTTCTTCCCTTGAAGGGATTTGTGAACTGATGGTTAGGTGGCCAAGGCATCAATGAGGCTTGCACTGCAGAAGGGAGACAGAGATGAAGACGGAGAAAGAGAAAAGAGGGAAGGGACGAGGAGGGGGAGGAGAAGGGAAGATGGGAATGAAGGGAGAGAGGAGGGAAAAACCTCTAAACATACGCTAAAGACCATAGCTGTGTACCCCATGACCCATATAGGGAAACACGACACATTTCAGGCAATTTGAGCATCAAATAAGTAAAGATGATGTTATGGGCTGAATCATGGCCTCCCCCCAGTTCATATGTTTAAGCCCTAACCCTCCTATACCTTGTAATGTGGCTGTATTTGGAGCTACTGTCTTTAAAGAGGTAATTAAGGCAAAATGATGTCAGTTTAATATGACTGGTGTCCTTATAAGATTATTATAAGAAACACAGATTATAAGACACAGAAACAAATGGCAGGAAGACCATGTGCTGCCATCTACCTGCCAAGGACACAGGCCTTCAGAAGAAACCAACCCTGCTGATAACTTTAATTCAGACTTCCAGCCTCAGAACTGGGAGGAAATAGATTTCTGTTGTTTAAGGCACACAGTCTGATACTTTGTTAAGGCAGCCATAGCAAATTAACACAGATGGTAACATAGCTCGTTGAATAATGTAAAAATAAATGAGTATTTATTGCTATAAATAAATGAATAATAAGTGGAGGGAAAGGGAAAGTGCTTCCTTAGAGTAGCATAATGAGAAATTAGGAAATTACAAAATTCACCATTTAATAATCATAGTAGTAATTGATCCAAGCAAGACTATTAATGCATGCTAAAAGTAGCAGGTAAAAGTTTGATGAGATAAAGGATACTTAGTGTTAAACTCTCTTCCCATACATTGAAAGTGAAGTTGCTCTGTCATGTCTGACTCTTAACGACACCATGGACTGTAGCCTATTAGGCTTCTCCATCCATGGGATTTTCCAGGCAAGAACACTGGAGTGGGGTGCCATTTCCTTCTCCAGGGGATCTTCCTGACCCAGGGATCAAACCCGGGTCTCCTGCATTGCAGGCAGACGCTTTACCCTCTGAGCCACCAGGGAAGCCCCCCATACATTATTAAAGGTAACATAGTGACTTTTCAGTGCAGAAACCTGGCAGACACCACCTTAACTAACTGATCAAAGTTAACAGCACCAATAATAGGGCACATTGATATTATGGGCTAGTTGATATAATCCACAGACAATGTTACAGTATTCCAGTCAAAACTGCATAAACCGAAAACAATCATGAGGAAACATCAGACAAACTGGAACTGAGACACCTACAAAATAAATGGCTTGTTTTCTGGAAAAAAAAAAAATCAAGGTCATGATAGACAAAGACTGAAAAACTAGTTTGCTTTAGTTTGTTTGAAGCAAACTAAAAAGGGACGCGTCAACCAAACGCAAGGTGTAGTAACGGACCGGGGACAGGGAACCCGGCGTGCCGCAGTCCACGGGGTCGCAAGGAGTCTGACAGGACTGAGCGACTGAACAGCAAAGTCCTGGGTGGGACACTTGACCACAGTTGAATAGAGAGAGCGGATTAAATAGTATCTTCTCAACGTTCAACTTCCTCGTGTTAACAGCCCTGAAGTTATGTAAGAAGCCTGTCATCACAAATCCAGTCACCAATCAATAGCCACTGGCCACCATCGCCTCCTCCCCTCCCCAGCTATTTAGGGATGACTCAGACGTGAGCCCTCCCAAGCCCTTCGCCCCTTCTCCCAAAACTCAACATCTTTATCCCTACTTCCGAGGCAACTTTCCTCTCTGCCTTTACCACCTTCTCCACCTTCGGCCTAGCTGGCTCCTTTCTTGTCTCTGTCCTCTTCTGCGTCTCCGCTGTCCCCTCCCTGGCACCTTCTCCCCACCAGCGGCTCGCTTCCCTCTCCAGGTGCGCGCCCCCACCCAGCGGTGCGCGCCCTCCAACGCAGCGGTGCGCGCTCCCACCCAGCGGTGTGCGCCCCCAAAGCAGCGGAGCGCGCCTCCCATCCAGTGGTGCGCGCCCCCCAGCACAGCGGAGCGCGCCCCCCCGCCAGCGGTGCGCGCCCCCACCCCGTGCTCCGCTGCGCGCTTGCGCTCTGCAAGCGCCGGAGCCGGCCGCTCCGAGTTCAAGGAGCGTGTTGCCCGTGAGCGTTTCGCGCGGGGTCCCGGCTCAGGGTCCCCAGCCAGGGCGGTGGCCGCGCTCGCCCTCCGGGCGCCCTCTTGCCCGCGATGGGCTGCTCCAGCAGCGCCCTCAACAAGGCCGGCGACGGCAACAGGCTTCGCAGCGGTGAGCAGGGGACCCGGCCCCACCGCCACCCCGCCCGCGCCCTGGGGCTTGGGTGGGTTTGCTCCCCTGGGGTCCGACGGCTGTGACTCGTGCCCACCCCGCCGGGTAGCGGGCGGCTCCTCCCTAAGGATGCGAGTGAGACGCGGAGAGGCGGAGAGAGACCGCGGCCCGTGGTGCAGCGGTCCCGGTGCGCTCCGCCGCCCACGGTGCCTCACGCGGGAGGGAGCCCAGGCGTGGGGAGACCCCGCTGCCCGTGGCCTTAAGTTGGCCTTAAGTCCCTAACGCGGCCAGCCACAGCGCTCTGTTAAACAGATGCAGAATTTCCTGTCCTTCAGTGTACGAAATTTCAGATTACTGTGCAGATGGGCATTTACTCAGCGCACAGGTTCCTGAATTTTTAAAGAGGTCAGATGCGCTGTCCTCTACCCTTGACTTAAGTATTTCTTGACGAATACGCGTGTGATGAAAAGTGGTCCGCACTGAAACTTACGTAGAAATGCACCACACGCTTCTACTGTCTCTATACAACAGCCAGGTGCTTGGCTAGGTGCTGAAGATGCGAAAGACCCTACTCCTGGGGTCTGGGATGGGGGTGGGGAGGAAGATCAGACATCAAACAGGGTGAACAGGTGATTGCCATAGTTTCTGACAGTGATCAATGCTGTGAAAAGAATGAAAGATGAATGAACCAGAGAATGGCTGGGTTTTATAGCAGCCTCACTTCTTAGATTTTGAGTGGCTGGAGCTTTGAACAAAGCTCTGAAGGTTAAGCATATTCCTTCAAGTTAATTTACAGTCTTCTTCAAATCTAATTTTCTGAGAAATTCTATACTCTGGTTAATTCCTTTTCACAAGTTTTCTTTTAGCACCTTGTGTTACTCCAATAACATGTCTTTCTGATTTTGTAGCAGGGAGCGCTCAGTCTTTTCAAGAATGCTGTTTCAAAGCTCAGACACTGTGTCTAGTCAGAAATAGGCCGTGTTACAGTCATCTTTGTGGTGTGTGATAATTTATTTTTAATTTCATAGACAACAGAAAGCAATAGCAATGTGGAAGTAGGCCAAATATTTAAAGCCCTGTGTAAAAGTGATTCCAAACCCCTGGTGAACTGACAACAATGTGAAGAGATGGAAAAAATCCATTTCTAATGCTTGCTAACCTTTCTCCTAAAAATGATGAATGCTTCTATCCCTAGAACCTGCTTTCTGGAGGCCAGTGCAGGGAATAATGTCTTTGATGTTTTATGAAATCAGATGGGTTCTGTTTTTTTGCATTCTGTTCCATGATCAGCCCTTATTGGTTTCAGTATGAAAAACTGATGTTTCAGGAAGATATACCATATTACTTTGGTTTCTCTTATCCCCCAGCCATGCCCCCAGATATCCTAGGAATTTAAAAGGCAGAGCACTAAATCATCATTGTAGATTTTTTAACTGATAAAAACTTGTAGGGAATGTTACTTTTGGGGAGGGGCAAAATGTTCAGTGACTGGAAGGGTTTTTTAATCCTCTTAGAAAATAATGAATAACCTTGTTTTAATAAACATTTTATCACCAATATAAATAACTATCCACATGAGTCACACTGTTTCATTTTTTTTATTCATGCTTTCATTGCACTTCCAAGTTTTCACGGATGTTGTTCTGAAAGAAATGTTAAAACAATTGACAACCAGCTTTTGTGCATAGAAAATTAATTAATAAATTGCTTGATGCATGTATTGAATCAATCAACAGGTGTATTTTGCATCTGATCCTCAGACAGTATTCCTTTGTAATTGGATACTATTGTATGTTCATCAACTTTTCAACTCCATGGAGTTGGAGGCCCCATAAATAATTCATTCCTGTTTCTGCAGCTCAAAACTTCTTTAAATTCTGTATACAACCCGAAGCCTGTGAGTATATGCTTTTAGATTAAAACAGTCCAAATTTATTAAATGTCTGGCACATGCGTTTATTCACTGTACCCCCAGTGCTTAAGAATGCTTGGCACATGATTGTTGAATGATTACGTTTAATCCTTATAGCAATGCTTTGACTAAGTTTTATGATTTTTCCCATTTTACAGAAAAGAGTAATTTGCCCAACTTGTGGGGCTCCTTGAGAGTCAGAGCTGAGCTTTGAACTCAGGTACTCTCATTCCATAATTTGACTTCTTTTCCTCCTTAAATCTGTTTGTGACAACTTGATTTAAACCTCTTTTTGTCTCACATTATTCTGGATCCCCATTAGGTTTATGGTCATTCACTGTGCAAACAACAAAAGAAACACATGAAAGTATAATCGAGTTTCTACTATGTAAGTTTAGTATTATAATAGAGTTTATTATAATCCCTAAATGAAATATGTAATAAATATAATATTCACCTAGTATACTAGCATGAGTAAAATATTTATTTATCCCTAAATAAGAATCAGTGAAATATGAAGTTATATTTGCTTCCAGGTTTAAAGTATGAATATTTGGAGGACATGTAGCCTTAGAGGTATCTTCAGCAGCTACATCGATATAGAGAAGTTTCCAGTGGCCTCCCATAGAGATACAGATAATCTTTTTTTTTTTCAGATAATCTTTATATCATGAGATTATTTTAAAATTCACAATATCATGAGTTAAAGCTGGGTGGGTGTGTTAGTCTCTCAGTCATGTCCGACTCCTTGCGACCCCATGGACTCTAGTCCACCAGGCTTCTCTTTCCATGGAATTCTCCAGGCAAGAATACTGGAATGGGTAGCCATTCCCTTCTCCAGGGGATCTTCCTGACCCAGGGTTTGAATCTGGGTCTCCTACATTGCAGCACATTCTTTACTGTCCCAGCCACCAGGGAAGCCACCATGAGTTAAAGCTAAAACATCAAATCGACTGCAGACTGGATCTGTGTTTGGATAGTTCTCCTTAACAATTTTCTGTAACTGGTTTAAGAACTATTATATATAAGGTAGTATTAACCTGGAAGCAGAAGAATCATTAAATAATGGGTTGGACTAGGTTACCTCCGAGATCTCTTACAGCTCGAAAATTCTGTAACACTAAAATATGGAGGCACATATTTTCTGGGCTCCAATGAATCAGATAGTTACTGCTGGTTAGGTAGCTGTTAGGCTGAATAGGAATAACCCATTCTGTTGATCACCTGGAGATGTTTGCTGTGATGCGTGAGACACCGAATCCCCCTGAGCTGCTTTTCATCACCCCCAAAGATGACTCACTAGGAAAAGAGATGGTTGGGGGTGGGGAGGGGACGGGTTTGGAGGGGCAGTGTGGAGACTGGCTCTGATGTAAATAATTACCCAGTGCTACTCAAAGTGCAGAACACTACTACTACTTACGTGGTAGTCATCACACATAGATTTTTACTGAATGCCCTGAAATGGGTGAGGAAAGAGGCTTTTCTTTCCAACAGGACAACTAGACAGATTGAGTTTGGAATTTCTTGTGTTCATGGAAGCATGTTCTACATATTAGAACAATTTTTGTTCTCTTCAGTGCCCCTGGAGCTGATGAATCTGAACACAAAGATTTTGATGACTTCACAGGCATTAATAGAACTCAAAAGTTTCCAGGCCTTTGGCATAGAACCTTCCTCCCCATGCCAGCCCCCTGCTTCTCGGTGTGGTTACTGTCCCACTCTTTCCTGATAAAAATGCCACCCATTTCTTGCAGACTTCTTCCGGAGGTTTTATAGCTTAAACACCAATGCTGCTGCTAAGTCGCTTCAGTTGTGTCCGACTCTGTGTGACCCCATAGACGGCAGCCCGCCAGGCTCCTCTATCCTTGGGATTCTCCAGGCAAGAACACTGGAGTGGGTTGCCATTTCCTTCTCTAATGCATGCATGCATCCTAAGTCGCTTCAGTCGTGTCCGACTCGGTGGGACCCTGTGGACAGCAGCCCACCAGGCTCCTCTGTCCACGGGATTCTCTAGGCAGGAGTACTGGAGTGGGTTGCCATTTCCTTCTCCAAAACACCAATGTGGACAGAGTAAATAGATGGTAATTATTGACGAATTCATTGCTACTTTCATGTGTACATTTCCACTGACAGCTGTAATCGTGTGTTTGTTCTTCTCTGAACTCTCACTAGCTGCTTGGAGTCCACTGCCTAGATAATAAATAGGATGAGGCTTGAATTTCACAGTTACGTGAATTGACCTTTGTGTAGCAGAAATACCTTTAGTTATCAACCAATATTTTCACATAGTGATATTTCAGTCCTGAATACTTCTCCTTTGTAATTGAAGAACAAAAATCATTAACGTTAAAGTAAGTATTAGAGGCTTTTGTTGCATACGAGTATTATATAAATGGGATTTCTTTGGTTCAAGTGCAGAGTCTCTGGACCAAGTCTTGTATGTCTTTGTGTTGCCTCTAGAGCTTAACATAGCATGCTTGGTAAGTCTTTGGTTGGGCCTGATTACATACAGCTAATTGTAATGGAATATTCATAAAACTGAAAACATTTGAAAAATGCACACAGTGAAAAGTCCACCTCCCACCCCAGCCTCACTACCTGCTCAGTACAATCACATCTATGGATAAAAAATTTATTAGGGTTTTTTTAAAATATATTCTTCCAAAGTTTCTTTATACATTACAAATATTATTTCCCTCTCCCATCTTTATTCATAAAATGTGATGTATTATACCCACTATTCTTCACTTAATTTCTTTCACCTAAAAGTATGGAGCTCTTTCTATAATCTCTCTATAATATAGAGAACTTCTTTCTCCTTTTTTTACCCTTGGTTAAGAATCCACTGTGTAATTTATTTAACCAAACCCCCAGTGAGGGACATTTGATTTGTTTACAACAAATGAGGCTGCAGTGAATTCCTTTACACATACATCATTTTGAAAGTGCACACGCATAACTGTAAGACCATTTCCCAAAAGTGGCATTACTGGGTCAAAGGGCATACACATTTATAATTTTGAGAGCTAACTACCTAAATGTCTTCATAAGGGTTGTACCAAATGACACTCTCATCACCAGCACATCT